AAACAAATTATCATATAATGTGATATATAAATCTGCCCATATATGTCTCGGCTGGTGTTACAAAATAAAACCATGCCAGGAAGAGGGAGAACCCAGGACACTTTCCAACATTCTTCCTTCAATAGTAAATATCTGCAAATACACATAACCATCCCTCAATCAATTTGCTGGCTTCCTTTATTCCAAAACAAGCATGGAATTGCTAATGCATTCTTGAAGCCAACATCTACGAGTGCAGAACAGAGAAACACTACCCTTTGGGCAGTGTATCAATGGTAGCAAAGGAAACGAACATGGACCACTAAATGTAGTAATATGTTTCTGATAGGCCACTTCAAAGGAGAGTAGTTAAGTAGAAAAGGCCAGTCTTGGCTTTTCAGAGTTGAGAGGCCACTTTATGAGACTTTTGTTGCCTATGCTAATACTTACTCAGTAAACTGGGCCTTAACTTGGACATTATGCATCATATGGAAAAATCCACAATATCATAAAAGAAACTCTTTAGCCCTTGAGCAAGTGAAGCCAATAGCAGAGTAGAAAAACAGTAAAATGGAAACAGCATGAAATGGAGTACTATTTACAAATTTTGTCCCACAGACAGAAATATGGGTAAAAGGCACAAATTGACAATATTTAGCCACACACAATTGGATGCTTAACATGATAATTTGGGGATTTTTAGAGCATTTTGTGCACACTAATCACACACAGATAATTGGCTTGATAACAATACTTGGCCAAGCATGAATTGTGTTAGCCTTTGTATGAACCAGGATTCAAAAACAACAACAAAAATAATCATATTTCCGATCTGCTTTGAACTGGGGAATCATGAGTAACAGTTTCAAAACAAACCAGGACAGAAAACAGTTTAAGCCATCACCATATCATGTGCCCGATAAAGACAACGTACAATGTTCAAGTTACATCAAAGTTACTGAGGTCTGGGATTTTCTTTTCTTTTCTTTTCGTGACTGCTTTTAAGAGGTTGTCAGATTGGATAATTAAAAGTAAAGATTTCATAGGAGGAAGCTTATAAATGACAATGACTCTACCCCAGTACCATCATTTGAGCTCAGGCAAGTTCTAAATACCTCCTTCTCAAAACGGCACGGAATAATTCATCACAGCATCTAATCTTATTGCAGTTCCACGGAATGCAATGAACAAAGGCTGCATGGGCTGCATGCAAAAGCCACTCCTGGAACAGAAACCGTATAATAAATCCCAAAGAATTTCCCACAAGACTCTCTTCTGATGAGCAATCTGTCGCACAAAGACACCCAGCCAGCCCTTACGTTAGATCTGTCATGTATCACATGCAGCAACATTTTAAGAGCACCCAGTGGGATATTCTAACAATTGGGTTTCAAAGCCCTGCACATTCCCCTTTACTCCTCTAATTTTTGGTACATCACTGTGGTTATTGCAGGGCCACTGTCAACTTAAGGATGCTACTATTTAATTCAGCATTATCTGCAAATCTGTCAGCGGTTCTACAGGGTTTCCTCCTCAGTCCTACTTAGCAAGGCTTATAAAAATGGAAGTTGAGATTCTTGTGACATTGCATGATTCATCCAACATTATACAGTGGTACCTCGGGTTATGAACTTAATTCGTTCCGTGACTCTGGTCGCAGCCCGAA